CCCTCCCTCCCTCCCTCTCATTCTCTCTCTTCTCCTGCTCGCCTTTTCTTCTCCGGTTCGCCCTCGTCCTTCCACATGTCCGCTTGGAGCAGGGAAGCGATCAGAGCGTTCTTCATCCGCAAGAAGACGGAAGGAGGAGGAGGAGGAGGAGGTGGTGGTGGTGGTGTTGGTGGTGGTGGTGGTGGTAGTGGAGATGAGGAGCGACTGGATGCAGAGGTAGGAGGGGGGAAAGGTGGAGGAGGAATTAGAAGAGACGGAGAGGTGAAGAGGAACGAGAATGGAGGAAGGATAGTTGCTGAGTTGTGTCAAGAGCTCACGATCTTTGTTCCTCCTCCTCCAAAGCGAGTTCAAGTAGGCAGCAAGCATGTCGACGCCTTCGGCTTGGGTACTCTACCACTCGGCGTCCTCTACCCCGATGCCTCCCGCCGACCAGATCGGGCACGCGCCATGGCGATCATTCGGACAGCAGCGAGGTTGGGAGCAGAGCTCTTTGACACAGCAGACAGCTACGGAGCAGATGACAAGGACTTCGGGTATGTGGAGAAGCTCCTGCACGAGGCGCTGAGAGGAGGAGCGGAGGGAAGGGGAGGAGAGGAGGAGCAGAGAGGAGGAAGGCAGGAGAGGGGAGGAGAGCGGAGGGAGGCTTGTGTGGCAACCAAAGGAGGGATGCTGAGGGTGAGCAGGGAGGCGAATGGCTGGAGGCCCTCGAGGTGCGACAGGGAGTACCTGCTGACTCGGATGAGAAGTAGCTGGGAGAACTTGGGAGGAAGAGATCCTGTGTTCCTGTGGCAGCTCCACCACCCCAACGAGAAAGAGTCGCCAATAGAGGAGGCAATGCAGGCAGCCAAGACGGCGCAGGAGCGGGGATGGGTCCGGCATGTCGGCCTGTGCAACGTGACGCTGGATCAGTTGAAGAGAGCGAGGAGGGTGGTGGAGGTGGCAGCCGTGCAGTGTGAGCTCAACTACTGGACGAGGAAGGCGGAGAAGCAGGGGATCCTGGACTACTGCAGGGACAACGGGATAGCCTTCATCGCCTTCGGAGCTCTAGGAGGATTGAAGTGTCGGAGGGGGGAGAGGTGATGGCCCCTTCCATCCTGGTCTCCTTTGCTCTTTCTTTCCTCCCCTCTCTTCCCTTCCTTCCTCTACCTTCCCCTCCTCTTCCATCTTCTCCTCCCCCAACCGCTCGTCCCCTCCGCCTCTCCTATGCTCTCCCCACCTCTTCTCGTCGCGTCCTCTCACCTACTCTCGTAGGCACCTCGCAAGCTCCTTCCCCGCCCTCAAGTACATGGCGGACCGCAAAGGCTTCTCCTGCGAGGCAACGGCGCTCGCGAGCATGCGGCACCTGTGGCCGCACCTCATCCACATCCCAGGCGCGAGGACTGAGGAGCACGTGCAAGACATAGCGAGAGGAAGGGAGGTGCGATTCACAGCTGCCGAGCTTGACGAGCTGCGACGCATGAAGCCGAGCAGATGAAAGAATGGGTGAGCGGAGGAGGAGCGGAGGAGGAGCGGGATGGGCGGCAATGAGGGCAGGAGCAGGAGCAGGAGCAGGAGCAGGAGCAGGAAGGGATTCGGCGAGGATAGCAGTGGTTTGCTGTCCTTCAGATGAGTTAACGCGAAGAGAGTAGCGAAATGATTTCGTAATCTACCATGAGAGGACCTTTCAGAATGTGCTCGACCCTTGCACGTCCTACAGTGTTCTTATTGATTACAGCTGGTTTACAGTGCTCAACGATGTAACTCTCGTTTCTTCTTTTCGATTTCTCACGCTTCATTTCACCGACATCTCGAAATACCTTCATGCCTGCCATCTGTAGTCCCTACAGCATGACGGTACTCGACGTCTTTCTTTCCATGATGTTCCAAGGGAGGTTTTACTCATAAAACCATAAATACCTCTCACATGAAACATCCGTCAACCATTCATCTACCAGACATGCGCTTCTGGCTTGTTTGCACAACGTCGAGGACGAGGAAAGTGACGTAACGTCAAGTGAGATATGAAAGGAGGTGAAGTTGCTCATTGAGTATACAGTACAACAAGTACACAAACCCTCGTTCCTCCCGCATCATCTGCCAGCATACAACTGCGCGTACCCACGAATAAACCATGGCGGCCCGTCTGGTAGTTTGAGAATCCCCCGACCGGACCGAACGTGCCGACACGGCAACGACAAATATAGAGTTAACGATCATCAAACAAGAGTAGACGCTAACGGAGTGGGAAGAGGAGGAGGAAGAGAGAGGAACGGATAGAACAGGGAAGATGGAGAGAGATAGGGGAGGAGGGAGGAGGAGGGAGGAGGAGAGAGGAGGAGGGGAGGAGGGAGGAGGAGGAAGGAGAAGGATCATGACGGAGAGAATGAAGGGAAAGGAGGCAAGTTGAGCTTCACGGGACATTAGAAGGAGCTGGGAATATTAACAATAGAAAGAACAGAGGAAACAATGATAAGGCAGTAGGAGAGAGGTAGAAAAGAATGCAGTTACGTGACATCTGAAATGTGAGGTCCATGTATTCCACACGTATCAGGTAGGAAAGAGCTGTAACGCAATTCACCTTTCTGCGCTTGTTGGTTTCTTCAATATTTCAGCTAGCTGCTTCAATCATGCAGCAATCTACTAGATCTGCTGCTATCAACATAGCTCAACTTGAGTCAAAGGATGATCTTACATCTGAGCTCATTTCCTCAGTGTCATCACAATGAGAATCTTCAATTGGAATTTCAGGTTGCAGTCACAACCATGGCAATTCTACACACAATTTCGCAATGCGAGGGAGACCCTTCCATTCTCACAACGTGCACTTCTCAACATGTTTCGATCATACTCTACCTGCACCTCACCTTGTATCTCATGTGACTCGACTCGACAACCTCTGGGATGTCAGTACACATTCAGACGAGAGGAAACAGTCAAACATGTTGAAACGGAATAGACTTGCGATTGTGGATAGTGACGTGTAAGTTCATACATCTCCGATAGCCAAAGAAAAAAACAATATCACAGAACATGCTTGTAACAAAGACATTAGTTGGATTATTTTTGATTTTATTGATTCTGAACCGTGATGAGAGGGTTGCCTACCAAGACAGGGTCGTGGACTCTCTACTTCCAGATATCCACATCTTCGGCGTCTCTTCGGCGGGGGTAGCCAGACGTCGCAGTCGTCCAGCCAAACTTCTTCTTCTTTCCTTCTTCTTCCACATGCCGCGATCTGCATCTGCGCATGCAGCCTCGGCATGGTGAGCTACAGCGCTCGGGTCTTCCTTGCGGAAGGGTAGGGGGGTAACCTGCCATGAGGTTTCTTCCGGTAAACCGTCTTTGTTTCCCCTGGTGTACCAAAGACGGTCGGGATAGGGTATCTTCCATTTCCACTTACTGCTGCCGCTTATGCATCCCGAGCAATACGACAGCAGGAGTCGAGGCGCGGGTCACATGGTGCGACCCTTCTGGAGGAGCTCCAGATGAGAGCGGCAAGTCTCCGGCGGGGGAGGAGCTCTCGC